AGAGACGGGGTTTCACCATCTTGACCGGGTTGGCCTCGATCTCTCGACCTCGTGATCCACCCGCCTCGGCCTCCCAAAGTGCTGGGATTACAGGCTTGAGCCACCGCGCCCGGCTTGTTTTTTGTTTTTGAGACAGAGTCTCACTCTGTCGTCAGACTGGAGTGCAGTAACACAACCTCGTCTCACTGCAACCTTCTCCGCCTCCCAGGTTCAAGCAATTCCCCTGCTTCATCGTCACCAGTAGCTGGGATTACAGGCACACACCATCACGCCTGGCTAATTTTTTTTTTTTTTTTTTTTTTTTTTTTGAGGCAGACTTTCGCTCTTGTTACCCAGGCTGGAGTGCAATGGCGCGATCTTGGCTCACCACAACCTCCGCCTCCTGGGTTCAGGCAATTCTCCTGCCTCAGCCTCCTGAGTAGCTGGGATTACAGGCATGTGCCACCATGCCCAGCTAATTTTTTGTATTTTTAATAGAGACGGGGTTTCACCATGTTGACCAGGATGGTCTCGATCTCCTGACCTCGTGATCCACCCACCTCGGCCTCCCAAAGTGCTGGGATTACAGGCTTGAGCCACCGCGCCCGGCCTAATTTTTTATATTTTAGTGGTGACAGAGTTTCACCATGTTGGCCAGGATGGTCTCAATCTCCTCACCTTGATCACCAGCCTCAGCCTCCCAAAGTGCTGGGATTACAGGTGTGAGCCGCCGTGCCTGGACTTTTTTTTTTCCCCCGGGGACAGAGTCTCACTCTGTTGCCCAGGCTGGAGTGCAGTGGCACAATCTCGGCTCACTGCAATGTCTGCCTTCGGGGTTCAATTGATTCTCCTGCCTCAGCCTCCCAAGTGTCTGGGGCTACAGGCATGTGCCACCACACCCAGCTAGTTGGTTTTTGTTGTTGTTGTTTTTTTTTTTTTTTTTTTTTTTTTTTTGAGACGGAGTTTCGCTCTTGTTACCCAGGCTGGGGTGCAATGGCGCGATCTCGGCTCACCGCAACCTCCGCCTCCTGGGTTCAGGCATTTCTCCTGCCTCAGCCTCCTGAGTAGCTGGGATTACAGGCACGCACCACCAAGCCCAGCTAATTTTTTGTATTTTTAGTAGAGACGGGGTTTCACCATGTTGACCAGGATGGTCTCGATCTCTTGACCTCGTGATCCACCCACCTCGGCCTCCCAAAGTGCTGGGATTACAGGCTTGAGCCACCGCGCCCGGCCTGTTGTTTGTTTTTTTGTATTTTTAATAGAGACAGGGTTTCGCCATGTTTCTCTTGCTGGTCTCAAACTCCTGGCCTCAGGTGATCCGCTCACCTCGGCCTCCCAAAGTCCTGATATTACAGGCCTGAGCCGCCTCACCTCGCAGACTGGAGGCATTTGAAATGCCACTGAGGAGAATGGGCAGGGGACACAGGCAAACAGGATTCCTGGGCTGTGTTAGAGCCCAGGTGAAAGTAGAGACCCTGAGTTTGCAGCAGCCCCAACCTGCTCAAAAACAAGATGGGTATTGGGCTTTCCAGACAGGTGTGATGGGAAAACCCTAAGACAAGAGACTTAGTGACAGGCTATTGGGGAGGATGAGAGGACTTCAAGGAAGAGGAAGACTTGAGGCCAGGGAAGAATCTAGAAGCCCCTGTCTTAGTCCATTGGGATGCTATAACAACATATCTTAGACTGTATAATGTATAAACAAAAGAAATTTTTTTTTTTTTTTTTTTTTTTTTTTTTTTGAGACGGAGTTTCGCTCTTGTTACCCAGGCTGGAGTGCAATGGTGCGATCTCGGCTCACCGCAACCTCCGCCTCCTGGGTTCAGGCAATTCTCCTGCCTCAGCCTCCTGAGTAGCTGGTTACAGGCACGCGCCACCATGCCCAGCTGATTTTTTGTATTTTTAGTAGAGACGGGGTTTCACCATGTTGACCAGGATGGTCTCAATCTCTTTTTTTTTTTTTTTTTTTTTTTTGAGACGGAGTTTCGCTCTTGTTGCCCAGGCTGGAGTGCAATGGCGCGATCTTGGCTCACCGCAACCTCCGCCTCCTGGGTTCAAGTAATTCTCCTGTCTCAGCCTTCCAAGTAGCTGGGATTACGGGCACGTGCCACCACGTCCGGCTAATTTTTTGCATTTTTAGTAGAGACGGTGTTTCACCATGTTGGCCAAGATGGTCTCGATCTCTTGACCTTGTGATCCACCCGCCTTGGCCTCCCAAAGTGCTGGGATTACAGGCTTGAGCCACCGCCCCCAGCCCAACAAAAGAAATTTATCAGCCAGGCACGGTGGGTCACCCCTGTAATCCCAGCAGTTTAGGAGGCCGATGCAGGCAGATCACAAGGTCAGGAGTTCAAGACCAGCCTGGCCAATATGGTAAAACCCCATCTCTACTAAAAATAGAAAAATTAGCAAGGCGTGGTGGCACATGCCTGTAGTCCCAGCTACTCCAGAGGCTGAGGCAGAAGAGTCACTTGAACCCGGGAAGCAGAAGTTGTAGTGAGCCGAGATCCCACCACTGCATTCCAGCCTGAGTGACAGAGCAAAATTCCATCCCAAAAAGAAAAAGAAGAAGAAATTTATTACTTATAGTTCTGGGGGTTGGGAGATCCAAGATCAAGGCACCAGCAGATTTGGCGTCTGGTAAGGGCTTGTTCGTCATACATGGGGCCTTCTAGCTGTGTTTTCACATGGCAGAAGGGGTGAACAAGTTCCCTAGGCCTCTTTTATAAGGGCACTAGTTCCATTCATGTGGGTGAGCCCACCCAATCACCTCCTAATCAACTCCCAAAGGCCCCACCTCTTTTTTTTTTTTTTTTTTTTTTTTTTTTTTTTTTTTTGAGACGGAGTTTCGCTCTTGTTACCCAGGCTGGAGTGCAATGGCACGATCTCAGCTCACCGCAACCTCCGCCTCCCGGGTTCAGGCAATTCTCCTGCCTCAGCCTCCTGAGTAGCTGGGATTACAGGCACGTGCCACCATGCCCAGCTAATTTTTTGTATTTTTAGTAGAGACGGGGTTTCACCATGTCGACCAGGTTGGTCTCGATCTCTCGACCTTGTGATCCACCCGCCTCGGCCTCCCAAAGTGCTGGGATTACAGGCTTGAGCCACCGCGCCCGGCGCGGCCCCACCTCTTAATACCCTGACATTAGTGATTAGGTTTCAACGTGTGAGTTTTTGGGGTCATAGACATTCAGACCATAGCACCCTTGGACCAACAGGACAGGCAGAGGCTCTGGAATGACTCTGGGTGGGTGAAGTTGGGGACACTGCTTTGCTTTAGAAAGGGAATCCCTTGGGCTGGGTGAGGTGGCTTATGCCTGTAATCCCAGCACTTTGGGAGGCCGAGGGAGGTGGATCACAAGGTCAGGAGTTCAAGACTAGCCTGACCAGCGTAATGACACCCCGTCTCTACTAAAAATACAAAAATTAGCCAGACCTGGTGGCATGCTCCTGTGATTCCAGCTACTCGGGAGGCTGAGGCAGGAGAATCGCTTGAACCCGGGAAGTGGAGGTTGCAGTGAGCTGAGACGATGCCATTGTACTCCAGCCTGGGCAACAGAGCAAGACTCTGTCTCAAAAAAGAAAGAAAGAAAGAAAGAAAGAAAGAAAGAAAGGGCCAGGCGCGGTGGCTCAAGCCTGTAATCCCAGCACTTTGGGAGGCCAAGGCAGGTGGATCACGAGGTCAAGAGATCGAGACTATCCTGGTCAACGAGGTGAAACCCTGTCTCTACTAAAAATACAAAAATATCAGCTGGGCATGGTGGTGCGTGCCTGTAATCCCAGCTACTCAGGAGGCTGAGGCAGGAGAATTGCCTGAACCCGGGAGGCGGAGGTTGCAGTGAGCCGAGATCGCGCCATTGCACTCCAGCCTGGGTAACGAGCGAAACTCTGTCTCAAAAAAAAGAAAGAAAGAAAAAAGAAAGGGATTCTTTCCACCAGGGGCTACAGTGTGGTTGGGGGAGGGGGTCTCTGGCAACTCTCCGGGATGCTTTTTTTTCCTTATTTTTTATTTCATTCCACAGTCTGTAACCTAGGATGCTTCTCACTGCAGGACCGACGGCCTAGAAATGGCCTCAAATGGAAGCTGTGAAGCGATCCTGGTGGAGGCTTTGGAGCTGGGCCTCCACCAGGATCAGGACTTCAGGGTTCAGTGCGCACGTGCTGCCCCTGCACTAGGTAAGTCCCTTCCTCCATGGACCCCCCAGCCCTCCAGTTCCAGTGGAGATAGTGTGCACAGCCCTAGCTCCCCTCTCTGACCTTGGGAAGAGGCTGAAGGGGGACCCCATGGAGTTCCTAGGAAATGAGGGGGAAGTGGGGAGCCTCTCTCTCTTCCAGTCCCGGCTTCCCAGCCCCAGGGCTGAGCTGTTCCTGTGTGTCAGGCTCTATGGGGGGCGTGGGGGGTGGGGGGAAGATGTCAGTGCATTCATTCTCTCGAGGAATCCTGCAAGGCTTCCCAAATCGGTGGTGTTGTCAGCCCCATTTGGGGAAAGTGACCTGTCGCAGGTTGGTGGTGGACACCCAGCTCCATCCCATTTGTGGTGCCACCAGGCCTTTTCTACTCCTCTCTGGAGAGGCTGGAGAGTCCTTTCCCTCCCAGCAGGATCCTAAGGATCCTGGCGGTGCCCCAGGAGAGACAACATCCCCTGCTTTGGAGGGCGGCTAGGTCGCTGTGAGCAGCCGCGTGGTGTCCCCCTGTTCGACACTCAGACTAAGAGAGGGCTGTGTGTTTTGTTTGTTTGTTTGTTTGTTTGTTTTTAAGATGATGTCTCGCTCTGTCACCCAGGCTGGAGCACCGTGGCTCGATCTCGGCTCACTGCAACCTCCGCCTCCCGGGTTCCAGCAATTCTCCTGCCTCAGCCTCCCGGGTGGCTGGGATTACAGTCATGCGCCACCACACCCGGCTAATTTTTGTATTTTTAGTAAAGATGGGGGTTTCACCATGTTGGCCAGGCTGGTCTTGAACTTCTGACCGCAGGTGACTCGCCCGCCTCGGCCTCCCTAAGTGCTGGGATTACAGGCGTGAACCACCGCGCCGGGCCAGCTGTACTCTTAAAGGGTCGGAGCAATGCTGGTGCTGGAGACCGAGGCGAGGAGGTGACGCTCAGGGGACTTCAGCCGCGGAACGCCGCGAGAGGACAAACCCAGGTCAGAGGGATCCCTCCGCGGCCCCCACGCCAGGTATCGGTCTCGCGCCCTGGCGTGGCCCGGTTGGTCTGCAGAGCAGGCGTCGGGGCCGGCAGAGGGCGCCCGGCGTGAGGGGGAGGAGGAGGAGGGAGCCGGGGCAGCCCGGGGAGGGTGCCGCCCCGCGGGGGTCTGCAGCTCAGGTCGGAGGGTCGGCTGCGTGGGTCGGGGAATCTGGATTCCGTGGGTTCAACGCCCAGGGGTTCCAGGAGCCCCGATAGTTCTCGGACGCCCGGCAGGCTCCGACCCACTCGTCCCAGCACCCCTCCCCCGTCCCCGTCCGCGGGCCCCTCCCCGGTCGCCCCTCCGGGCGGGGCTGCTCCCGGGTCAAGGCTGGCGCGGGTCTTTGGGCCCTGGCCTTCCGGTGCACCAGGCGGAGGACAGAAAACCTGAGCATCCACGCGCAGGGGTAGAGAGTGGGGGCCATTCTGGGGGTGCACTGCCCCGCCCCCTCCGGGTCCGCCTCGGCCGCACCCGGGCCTCAGGCCCCGCCCCCTCCCCTCGTCCGGCGGGAGAGCCCCAGGGGCAGCCGCAGCCGCCAGAGCGCCCGCCAGAGCGCCCGCCATGCGTGCTGCCCACGCTGCGCTGCTGCTCAGGCTGCTGCTCCTGCTGGGGTCGTGGCTGGAGGCTCCGGGCGTTGCGGAGTCGCCGCTGCCCGCCGTGGTCCTTGCCATCTTGGCCCGCAATGCCGAGCACTCACTGCCCCACTACCTGGGCGCGCTGGAGCGGCTGGACTACCCCCGGGCCAGGCTGGCCCTCTGGTGAGAGACCCGGGCATTGGCAGCCAGTGGGCACCTAACCCCCGGCCTTGCAGGCGGCCCCCGCCCGCCGTGGCCCTTTCCCCTCACTGGCTGCCCAGTCACCACCCAGACAGGCCCCTCCCCTGACAGACGGCCTTGCCAGCCGGAGGCCTCAGACGGGACCCCGAACCCCCTGCTGGGCGACGACAGATCTCTGAGGCCATAGGCTGACTAGGGACACCCACTCCTCCCTCTGGTCCCCTACTCCTTCCTCTTGGGGCCTTCCCTGAGGGTAGATTGGGCCCAGCCAGCCCTTTTCACCCCAGCCTAAAGAGCCCAAGTCAACCCCGGTGGGACCTGTGGTTGGCTGGATTTGGAAAGGAGCAGACAGGAACCTCTGAAGTCCACTGGGGCCCAACGTGGCATGGATATGCCAGGCTGGAGGCTTTAGGGCACAGATGGGGGGTGAAATCAGCACTGGGCTCTGGACTGTGCAGGGGAGTCCGTTCAGCTCCCCCTCCCTCAGGGCTGAGGCCACCTCTCTTGGTAGAGGGGCGGGATCCAGTCAGCCAAGAGCAGCCCCTCTCACTGGAGCCTCTCCCCTCTGGTACCTCTGTACCCACAAGGCAATGGGATCGGAGGCCACAACCCCTGGTCTGTAGACGCCAGAACAGGGAGGAGTCCCTGCCTGAGGTTGGGGGTAAACTGAGAAAATGACAAGCCACCCTTTACAACACACCACAGTTCGGCTGGGGGTGGGTGGAGCCCTGGCCTGGGGAGGCCGCCCACAATTACCACAGTTTGGGAGTTCCCACCCCTGTAAGACTTGACACGTAATCTTCATTTCTGGGGAATTGGCTTAAAGGGGCAGCATCACCCAGAACCTGGGATCTTGGCTAAGCACCCCCTCTGTTATGGGAGCCCCTTCCCCAGGAGAGGGGAGGCTGTGCCCCTTGACAACAGAGCTTGGGTCCATCTGCATTCTCAGGGACGCTCAGAGCAGGGTTTGGTCCTTATTACAACTCAGGGGTGGAGGAAAGCAGCAGCTCTTTGTCTAGTTCCCATTCAGAGAGGGACAAGGGCTGGCCTGTGGTCACACAGCCACAAGTCACACAGGTAGGTACCTGCCTACCTAACAAATGTAACCAGGGAATGTAGCAGGTGTGATGCTTAAAGTTGAGGTACTTTTCATCTTTCAAAATGCATTTGTGGGCTGGGCATGGAGCTCACTCCTGTAGTTCCAGCACTTTGGGAGGCCGAGGTGGGCAGGTCACTTGAGGTCAGGAGTTCAAGGCTTAGCCTGGCCAACATGGTGAAGCCCTGCTAAACACACAAGAATTAGCTGGGCGTGGTGGCAGGCACCTGTAATCTCAGCTGCTTGGGAGGCTGAGGCAGGAGAATCGCTTGAACCTGGGAGGCAGAGGCTATAGTGAGCTGAGATCGTGCCACTGTACTCCAGCCTGGGTGACAGAGCAAGACTTCATCTCAAAAAAAAAAAAAAAAAAAAAAAAAAAAAATGCATTAGTCTTCCCTTATCTTGACCTATGACATAGGCAGGACAGATTAAGTTATAGAGGGAGGACGTGAAGCCCAGAGAAAGATGGGACTTGCCTGAGGTCACACAGCAGATTGCAGAACTGTGTTGGGGACCTGGCTGGGCTGCCTCCAGCTCCTCTGCTGTAGCACACCCAGCCTTCACTGTTCCAAGGAGAGCCCGGCCTTCAAAGGTGTGGGTGCTTCGGGGTTAAGGGTGCCTTGGGGTTCAATCCTTCTGTGGCTGTGCCACCTCAGCCTCCTTTTTTCTTCCCATCCCCAGGTGTGCCACGGACCACAATGTGGACAACACCACAGAGATGCTGCAGGAGTGGCTGGCAGCTGTGGGCGATGACTATGCCACTGTGGTCTGGAGGCCCGAAGGGGAGCCCAGGTGCTGATCTGAGGGGAAGGGTGCTGGGGAAGATGGAGAACAGCTGCAAGCCTGGAGAGGAAAAGGGACAGCCCAGTGCCACAGCCTCCAAGCCAGGGCTCAGTCCACTGCCCTGCAGAAAGAGCAACATGGACCCCATGGGAACATCTCACCTCTCTACCCCCTCAGGTCCTACCCAGATGAAGAGGGTCCCAAGCACTGGACCAAAGAAAGGCACCAGTTTCTGATGGAGTTGAAGCAGGAAGCCCTCACCTTTGCCAGGGAATGGGGGGCTGACTATATCCTGGTAAGGAAGTCTGGCTAGAATTGAGCTTCTGAAAGGTGGTAGTTTCTGTCCCTGATAGAAATACGGGTGCAGGCGGGCCGGGCGCGGTGGCTCAAGCCTGTAATCCCAGCACTTTGGGAGGCTGAGGCAGGCGGATCACGAGGTCAAGAGATCGAGACCATCCTGGCCAACATGGTGAAACCCTGTCTCTACTAAAAAATTAAAAATTAAAAAAAAAAAAAAAGAAAGAAATACGGTGCAGGCTGGTTGCAGTGGCTCACATCTGTAATCCTAGCATTTTGGGAGGCCGAGCTGCGTGGATCACCTGAAGTCAGGAGTTTGAGACCAGCCTGGCTAACCTGGTGATGCCCAGTCTCTGCTAAAAATACAATAATTAGCAGGGCGAGGTGGCTGATGCCTGTAATCCTAGCACTTTGGGAGGCCAAGGCAGGTGGATCTCGAGGTCAGGAGTTCGAGACCAGCCTGACCAACATGGTGAAACGCTGTCTCTACTAAAAATACAAAAATAAGCTGGGCATGGTGGTGCCTGCCTGTAATCCCAGCTCCTTGGGAGGCTGAGACAGGAGAATCGCTTGAACCAGGGAGGTGGAGGTTGCAATGAGCCAAGATTGAGCCACTGCAATCCAGCCTGGGCGACAGAGCAAGACTGTCTCAAAAAAAAAAAAAAAAAAAAAAAAAAACACACAATAATTAACTGGGTGTTGTGGCAGGTACCTGTAATCCCAGCTACTCGGGAGGCTGAGGCACAAGAATCGCATGAAACTGGGAGGCAGAGGTTGCACTGAGCCAAAATCACACCACTGTGCTCCAGCCTGGGTGACAAGAGTGAAACTCGGTCTCAAAAAAATAAAATAAAATAAAATAAATAAATAAATCTGGGTGTTACTGGATTGGTGCTACTGAAGACTGGATCCTTCAGCAGGCCAGAGCCCAGACCAGATGATCAGCCTGGATCCCTATGTTAGAGGTCAGACTAGGTTCTAAGCCTGGACCTCTCCATTAGATCCCATTGTATATACTATATTTAGCTTCAATTCCTGGGCGAGAGCCCAGGGTATAAACTGAGCCTGGATCTCTGAACTAGAGCTCAGAGCAGGTGTTTGGACCCATTTTCTTTTCTTTTTCTTCTTCTTTTTTTTTTTTGAGATGGAGTCTTGCCCTGTCTCCAGGCTGGAGTGCAATGCAGTGGTGCAATCTCAGCTCACTGCAACCTCAGCCTCCAGGTTCAAGTGATTCCCCTGCCTCAGCCTCCCAAGTAGTTGGGATTATAGGCGCCCACCACCATGCTCAGCTAATTTTTTGTATTTTAGTAGAGACGGGATTTCACCATGTTGGCCAGGATGGTCTCAATCTCCTGACCTCGTGATCCATCTGCCTTGGCCTCCTAAAGTGCTGGGATTACAGATGTGAGCCATGGTGCCTGGCCTGGATCCATTTTCTAAGCCAGATCCCAGATAAAGATCTTAGATCAGCAACTCAGGTATCATCTCTGGACTCAATCCCTAAGTCAGTGCCCAGACTAGATCGTTGGTCCAGAAACAGATCTACTGAATGTATTAGTTAGACCTCTGTAGGAGCATTTCCACTGGATTCTAGGAGCCACACTGGGTCTCTGGCAGGACCACTCAGTGAACTCCTTGTGGGGCTGCAGCCCAGGCAGGGCTGGAGCCTGTGACATCCCCTCCCCAAAGTTTGCAGACACAGACAACATTCTGACCAACAACCAGACTCTTCGGCTTCTGGTGGGGCAGGGGCTTCCTGTGGTGGCCCCAATGCTGGACTCCCAGACCTACTACTCCAACTTCTGGTGTGGGATCACCCCCCAGGTAAGGCCAGAATGGGGACCTTGGGTGGATTGAGATCCTGGAAGGATGGACGTGGAGAGCAGAGAGCCTGAAGGCCTCGGGGTCGGTGGTCTGTGGGCAGGGGCAGGGGAGCCCTCTCACAGCACAAAGCATCCCCTTCCTCCAGGGCTACTACCGCCGCACAGCCGAGTACTTCCCCACCAAGAACCGCCAGCGCCGGGGCTGCTTTCACGTCCCCATGGTCCACTCCACCTTCCTGGTGTCCCTGCGCGCCGAAGGGGCAGACCAGCTTGCCTTCTATCCTCCACATCGCAACTACACTTGGCCTTTCGACGACATCATCGTCTTCGCCTATGCCTGTCAGGCTGCTGGTGAGGACCAGCTCTCCCTGAGCGTTCCTTGGAGGCCTCTGTGCCTTTGCACATGCTATTTCGTCTGCTTAGCATGCCCTTCCCTACTCTGCATGTCATTTTCTTGACTCATGAGTCACAACTTAGGGTCACAAGTTTTCTTTTCTCTCTCTCTCTCCTTTTTTTTTTTTTTTTTTTTGGTGTGATCTCAGCTCACTGCAACCTCCACTTCCTGGACTCAAGCAGTCCTTCTGCCTCAGCCTCCCAAGTAACTGGGACACTACAGGTGCATGCCACCATCTTGGCTAATTTTTGTAGAGATAGATAGGGTTTTGCCATGTTGCCCAGGCTGGTCTCCAACTCCTGGGCTCAAGCAGTCCACCGGCCTCGGCCTCCCAAAGTGCTGGGGTTACAGGTGTGAGCCACTGCACCTGGCCAGTAATTACTTTTTTTTTTTTTTTTTTTTTTTTTTGAGACAGAGTTTCGCTCTTGTTACCCAGGCTGGAGTGCAATGGCGCGATCTCAGCTCACCGCAACCTCCGCCTCCTGGGCTCAGGCAATTCTCCTGCCTCAGCCTCTTAAGTAGCTGGGATTACAGGCACGAGCCACCATGCCCAGCTAATTTTTTGTATTTTTAGTAGAGACAGGGTTTCACCATGTTGACCAGGATGGTCTCGATCTCTTGACCTCGTGATCCACCCGCCTCGGCCTCCCAAAGTGCTGGGATTACAGGCTTGAGCCACTGCGCCCGGCCCAGTAATTACTTTTAAGATGAAAGTCACTAGAAAGTGTTTGGGTATGGCTGGACGAGGTGGCTCACACCTGTAATCTCAAACTCATGGGAGGCTAAGGCTGGTGGGGAATCACTTGAGCTCAGGAGTTCAAGGTCAGCCTGGACAATATAGCAAGGCCTCATCTCTTTTCTGCCTTTTTTTTTTTTTTTTAGAGGGAGTCTTGCTCTGTGACCCAGGCTGGAGTGCAGTGGTGCAATCTCGGCTCACTGCAGCCTTGACCTCCTCCCCCACCTCAGTCTCCTGTGTACCTGGGACCACGAGTACACATCGCTATGCCCAGCTAATTTTTGTATTTTTTGTAGGGATGGGGTTTTGCCATGTTGCCCAGGTTGGTCTTGAACTCCTGGGCTCAAATGATCTGCCCCTCTCAGCCTCCCAAAGTGCTACGATTCCAGGCATGAGCCACGACACCTGGCTGTGAGACCCCATCTCTACAAAAAAATTTAAAAATTAACCTGGCGTGTTGGCCCATGACTGTAGTCCCAGCTACTTGGAAGTCTGAGGCAGGAGGATTGCTTGAGCCCAGGAGGTCAAGGCTGCAGCAAGCTGTGATCATGCCACTGTACTCCACCCTGAGCAACACAGGATGAGACCCTGTCTCAAAAAAAAAAGGCCGGGCACGGTGGCTCAAGCCTGTAATCCCAGCACTTTGGGAGGCCAAGGCGGGTGGATCACGAGGTCGAGAGATCGAGACCATCCTGGTCAACATGGTGAAACCCCGTCTCTACTAAAAATACAAAACATTAGCCGGGCATGGTGGCGCGTGCCTGTAATCCCAGCTACTCAGGAGGCTGAGACAGGAGAATTGCCTGAACCCAGGAGGCGGAGGTTGCGGTGAGCTGAGATCGCGCCATTGCACTCCAGCCCGGGTAACAAGAGCGAAACTCCCTCTCATAAAAAAAAAAAAAAAAAAAAAAAAAGAAAGTGTTTGGGTGTGAATGGAATAAATCCAGCCCTGAGGATGAGAGGGAGGGGTGGAGACACTCATGTTGGAATGAATTTCTTGAGAAGGCTGCAGAGAATGTGTAATTCTGACCTTGAAGACTGTGTGGTGGGTGGAGAAGAACTTTGCTGGTGGTCAGGATAAGTTAGAGGTGACGATTTAATCAAGTAATCCGTGGCAACCAGTGAGAAGGGGTTGTGATTCTTTGTTTTGTGCTGGAGAAGTCTGCAGTGTGCAGACGTGCGAGAAGAAATCTTATCAAGTGCAAAAAGTGAGTGGAGGTGGAACAATTGGAGGAGAAAAAACAAGAGGCAACAAAAGCATTCTGTTATTTTTCATTGCTATCCCTACTTCAAGTGATAGCCGTTGTTAACTGGTTGATGGTTTGAAGGAATTCAGTCTCCAACAGCCAGCTATTGGTATCCCGGCTCTGGGCCAGGCTCTGTGCTTAATGTTGGGAATAGGGTTAGCTTTTATTTGTTTTTTGTTTGTTTGTTTTGAGACAGAGTCTTGCTCTGTCGTCCTGGCTGGAGTGCAGTGGCAAAATCTTGGCTCACTGCAACCTCTGCCTCCCGGGTTCAAGTGATTCTCCTGCCTCAGCATCCCGAGTAGCTGGAATTACAGGCACCCAGCACCACATCCAGCTAATTTTTGTATTAGTAGAGATGTGGTTTCACCATGTTGGCCAAGCTGGTCTCAAACTCCTGACCTTAAATGATCTGCCTGCCTCTGTCTCCCGAAGTGCTGGGATTACAGGCATGAGCTACTGTGACCAGCCTGGGTTAGCTTTTAAATGGCACCATATGCTTGCCCCTGAGGATAATTAAAGTAAAGGTAACAAATATCAGGCTCAGTGGCTCATGCCTGTAATCAGCACTTTGGGAGACAGAAGCGGGTGGATCACCTGAGGTCAGGAGTGTGAGAATAGCCTGCGAACATGGCAAAACCCCATCTCTACTAAAAATACAAAAACTAGCCAGGCATGGTGGCATGTGCCCGAAATCCCAGCTACTCAGGAGGCTGAGACATGAGAATCACTTGAACTCGGGGGACAGAGGTTGTAATGAGCCAAGATTGTGCCATCGTACTCCAGCCTGGGTGTCAGAGCGAGACTTTGTCTCAAAAAAAAAAAAAAAAAAAATGAACAATTATTGAAGCCAGGAGAAGGCCATCCTTGCTGCGAGGTGAAAGACATTGTGAGGGGGAACCCTAGAGGGTGTGGGGTGAAGTGGAGGGGTCTGGGGAAAAGCTGATGGCCGTTGGATCTTGGTGGGGATTGGGAGAGATGGGAGGATTTGGGGGACAGAGCAGTGGGGCTCGCTGGTATCCTGTGGCTGTGGTCGGGAGGAGTTTGCCTGCTCCTGCCTCACCTTGATACCTGAGGGCAGGGACTCAGTCTTGCTCACTGATGTACCCCTGGCTCCCAGCAGGTGCCTTGGACAGCTCTGTTGAATGAATGAACCATCTCAGCAGAAAGACCGCTTAGATATTGTGTGAGCCAAGCCCTTTCTCCCTCTGGTCCCACAGGTGGGGAAACTGAGTCCCAGAGAAGACCGACACCTTGGGTCACTGGCAGTGCTGGGCCTAGGACCTCTCAGCTAGGTTCTGAGAGCCCTACCCGGCACTTCAGCTTTCACTCAGCCTGTCTCTGCAGGGGTCTCGGTCCATGTGTGCAATGAGCATCGTTATGGGTACATGAATGTGCCTGTCAAATCCCACCAGGGGCTAGAAGACGAGAGAGTCAACTTCATCCACCTGATCTTAGAAGCACTAGGTGAGGGCTGGGGAACTGTTCTGCCTACCTGCTGCCACGACTCCCTGCCTCCCCATGGTGCTCCTTTCCCTAGGCCCTGAACTGAAGGGGGCATTGGCCTTGGGTTCTAGCCTTGCCCCTAACTCGTTCCATGACTCTGAGAAAGCCCCTTTCCTTGTTGGGCCTCAGTCTCACATCTCCACAATGGGAGCAGGTGAATCCCATGATCTCTGAGGACCCATCCTGTGGGGTGTTCTGCCAAGGGGGCAGGAATGAGGCTGGGGGCTAGGACTTCAGGGTGACTGCTAACAGGAGCCAGTAGGGACTCCTGCTTGGGGCGTGCTTCCCTTTACAGTGGACGGGCCCCCCATGCAGGCCTCAGCTCATGTGACTCAGCCCTCCAAGAGGCCCAGCAAGATGGGGTTTGATGAGGTAAGTCCCTCAGCCTGTGGGCTTGGGGTTAGGAGGTGGCTGGGCTCCTCTCCCTCTCCCCTGCACTTACCGTCCACTCCCTGCCTCCTCCAGGTCTTTGTCATCAGCCTGGCTCGCAGGCCTGACCGTCGGGAACGCATGCTGACCTCGCTCTGGGAGATGGAGATCTCTGGGCGGGTGGTGGATGCTGTGGATGGCAGGTGAGGCTGCTTGGGATGGGGCCCTGGGTGCTCAGGGGAGCAGTGTGATCCATCTCTGAACCCTTCTAGGACTGGGAAAAGCAGACAGATTGAATGAGTTTCCTGTCCCAGGAAATATCCAAATAGGGCCTGAGTAATACCCTCTCAGGGAGTTCCAGAACAGACATACATGGGAGAAGATGCCCTCCCTCTGCTCACCGGAGGAGAGCACAGTGGCTGAGGCTCCAGGGCCTGGGTTCCAGTTCTACCAGTTACCGAATGTGTGACGTCCAGACCCGCATCTCTCAGCATTTTTGTGTAAATAGCAGATAACTGTGCCCTTCTCTTAGGGTTTTGTGAGTTTAGTGAAATTAGCCAGGGCTGAGCACATGGTAAGTTTCCAAAGGATTAGGTGTCTTCAGTATTATTACTCTCCATCCTGGACTTGATTTCCTGATGGATGGGGGTTGGGAAAGACCAGCCATGTTCCCCAGGGGAATCCAGAGGCCAGGCTTTTCCAGCCACCGGGGTCCCATGGCCCCATATGTCTGCTGCTATTTGCTTCAAGTGCTCAGCTCTTTTTTTTTTTTTTTTTTTTTTTCTAGAGACAGAGTCTCACTCTGTTGCCCAGGCTGAAGTCCAATGGCACAAACATGGCTCACTGCAGCCTTACACTCCTGGGCTCAGCCTTCTGAGTAACTGGGACTATAGGCATGCACCATCACACCCAGCTAATTAAAAATATATATATATTTTTAGAGGCGGAGTCTTGTTCTGTCATCCAGGCTGGAGTGCAGTGGCATGATCTCAGCTCACCGCAACATCCACCTCCCAGGTTTTGGCCGAGCGCGGTGGCTCAAGCCCGTAATCCCAGCACTTTGGGTGGCCGAGGCCGGTGGATCACAAGGTCAAGAGATCGAGACCATCCTGGTCAACATGGTGAAACCCCGTCTCTACTAAAAATACAAAACATTAGCTGGGCATGGTGGCGCGTGCCTGTAATCCCAGCTACTCAGGAGGCTGAGGCAGGAGAATTGCCCGAACCCAGGAGGCAGAGGTTGCGGTGAGCCGAGATCACGCCATTGCACTCCAGCCTGGGTAACAAGAGTGAAACTCCATCTCAAAAAACAAAACAAAACAAAACAAAACAAAACAAAACAAAAAAATCCACCTCCCAGGTTTTAAGCAATTCTCCTGCCTCAGACCCCTGAGTAGCTGGGATTACAGGTTTGCATCACCACGCCTAGCTAAAAAAAAAAAAAAAAAAATGTTGGTTTTTTTTTTTTTTCCATAGAGACAGGGTCTTACTCTGTTGCCTAGGCTAGTCTTGAACTCCTGGCCTCAAGTGACCCTCCTGCCTCAGCTGCCTGAGTAACTGGGACTACAGGCATTCACCACCATACCCAGCTAATTAAAAAAATTTTTTGGCTGGGTGCAGTGGCTCACGCCTGTAATCCCACCACTTTGGGAGGCTGAAGCGTATGGATCACCTGGGGTCAGGAGTTCAAGACCAGCCTGTCCAACATGCTGAAACCCTGTCTCTACTGAAAATATAAAAATTAGCCAGGTGTGGTGGTAGGCACCTGTAATCTCACCTACTTGGGAGGCTGAGGCAGGAGAATTACTGGAACCCAGGAGGCAGATGTTGCAGTGAGCCGAGATCGTGCCACTGCGTTCCAGCCCAGGCCAATCACAGCAAGATTTTGAAAAAAACCTTTTTTTCTTTTTGGAGAAATAGGGTCTCTCTCTGTTTCCCAGGCTGGTCTTTAGCTCCTGGCCTCAAGCAAGCCTCCCACCTTGGCCTCTCAAAGTATTGGGATTTACAGGTGTGAGACCCCATGTACCCCAAGGTCTCTTGACCATAGGATATTCATCCGTTGCTTGGGCTTCTGCCGAAGAAGTATCTATCATGTTCCCACATTCATCCTGGAGTGCCTGCCCCAAGGCAGTCCCCTACCACCCCACCCTTTCCTCAAGGGTCACCCCTGACCTATTGTATTAGGAGACATCCTAATAGTTATCCTCTCAGAACGCCCAAGGTGGCCAGGTGTGGTGGCTCATGCCTGTAATCTCAGTACTTTGGGATGCCGAGGCAGGCAGATCACCTGAGGTCAGGAGTTCAAGACCAAACTGGCCCACATAGTAAAACCCCATCTTTACTAAAAATACAAAAAAAATTTTTTTAATTAGCCAGGCGTGATGGTGTGTGCCTGTAATCACAGCTACTCAGGAGGCTGAGGCAGGAGAATCACTTGAACCCAGGAGGTGGCAGTCACAGTGAGCTGAGATGGAGCCACTGCACTCCAGCCTGGCAATAGTGGCTCTAGCTCCCCAGGCGCAGTCCCTTAACAGCTTGGGGTCACACAAAGGCATTACTAGGTTGAAACCTTCTTTAAACCCGACTTTAGTGTGTATTGTCCCTGACATGCACAAGCCTGGCCCCTCTGGAGGGGTCTCTGGCAGGCACCCCTCACCCCATCACGCCTGTGTCCCTCAGGATGCTCAACAGCAGCGCCATCAGGAGCCTTGGTGTGGACCTGCTCCCGGGCTACCAGGACCCCTACTCTGGCCGCACTCTGACCAAGGGCGAGGTGGGCTGCTTCCTCAGCCACTACTCCATCTGGGAGGAGGTAAGGGTACCTGCTTCCCCCACCCACAGCCTTTGGGGAGAACAGGGGTGCCCATTTTCATTCTGCAGTCTCTCTTGAGCACCTACTATGTGCTAGCAGATATTCTGCTCTGAGAACACAGAGGAGGACAGGAACTATGCATGTCTGCTCCTTCCTGCAATAAAGGGATCCCCCTGGGGCTCAGGGACCAGAGGGGCCTTACGGAAATCAAGAAAACCAAGCTTGCAGTGGAGGGGAGAGGTGTGGGCCACTTTGAGAAGTGCCTCGTGTGGGAGGGGGTCAGAATTGGCCTCACCATTGAGAGGTTGGGGGGAAGAAACTTCTAAGCAGAAGAGAACAGTGGGTGTCAAGGCCCTGAGGTGGGAAGGTGTTTAGGAGCAGAAAGTAGGAAGCCTAGGGCTTAGCATGTGCTCAATACTTGGCCAGGAAGCCTCAGCCCCAGGGGAAAGGTTGCTGGAAATGCTGGAGAGAACAGGGGAACTGGGTCCTCCAAGGGCAGCCCCTCTAAGAGATGGGGCATGAATTTCTTGTTTTTATTTTCTGCTGTAGCCAAAATATATGTGTATGTGTATGTGAGCATTATGGATTTTGTTTTTTGTTTTGAGACGAATTATTGCTCTGTCGCCCAGACTGGAGTGCAGTGGTGTGATTTTGGCTCACTGCAACCTTGACCTCCCAGGTTCAAGTGATTCTCCTACCTCGGCCACCCAAGTAGCTGGGATTACAGAGCTGTGACAGTATGGCTGACTAATTTTTAAATTTTTAGTAGAGACGGGGTTTCGCTATGTTGGCCAGGCTGGTCTCAAACTCCTGACCTCAGGTGATTCTTCTGCCTCAGCCTCCAAAAGTGCTATGATTACAGGCATGAGCCACCACACCCAGCCTATGTTGGCTTTTTTACCATCTCTGAACAAATTAGAGGATGACATGGTTCACTACTTTTTTCTGGAGGGGGTACAGGGTCTTAACTCTGGCACCCAGGCTGGAGTGCAATGGCATGATCTTGGCTTATGGCAGCCTGGACCTCCCAGGCTCAAGCAGTTATCCCATCTCAGCCCCCCGAGTAGCTGCAACTATAGGTGTGCACCACCACACCCAGCTAAATTTTGTACTTTTTGTGGAGATGGGGTTTCGTCATGTTGTCCAGCCTGGTCTCGAACTGAGCTCAAGTGATTCCACCCGCCTCAGTCTCCAAAACTGCTGGGATTACAGGCATGAGCCACCGTGCCTGGCTTCACTGCTTTCTTAGCTGATCTCCTTTTCTTCTCACAAAAGTTATCAAAAGTAATTTTCCAAAAGTTATTCCAAAGTAACTTTTCCAAAAGTTATCAAAAGTACCTTTTCTTCAGGTTGTTCAGGGCTAGGGTCTTCCAAACCCCCATCCAGCCCAGCTTCCTTTAGAAAATCACAGGAGACCAAAGTGACAAGTTGGGCCCTGGTGTTCCGCAGATGCGGGTTCACATCCCAGCTCTGTCACTTTCTGGCTGTGGGTCCTTGGACAGGCACGTGTCCACCCACTTCCTGTAATTGAGGATCGTCATATCCTGCCTCCCAGAGGCCCTCAGAGATATGCAGTGGCCCAGCCCTGGGGTACAGTAGCACTCAGGGGATGTAGCAAGGGCCATGGTTACCATCACGATTCTATCTGGGGAGCCTCAAATGCCAGAGTGAGGTTGGGATTTCAGGTCCTGGCCAATGAGGCCCCCAGCACTGGGGCAACTCCGTGATGTGGCCAGGGCAATGGAGGCCAGGCAGAGGCTGTGGCTTCAGCGTGGAGGGAGGGGGATAGCTCAGCTTCAAAGAGCCATCTCCTACCCCATCGTGTACCACAGGTGGTTGCCAGGGGCCTGGCCCGGGTCCTGGTGTTTGAAGATGACGTGCGCTTTGAGAGCAACTTCAGGCGGCGGCTGGAGCGGCTGATGGAGGATGTGGAGGCAGAGAAACTGCCATGGGACCTGATGTAGGCAGCCTGCACACTCAGGGACAAGGGGGTGGGTCTCTGGAGTCTGCCTTTTCCTGCTTAGGACCCTGGCCGGCCCATCCCTCCCAGAGCCTGGCCCTATAAGGGGATGCAGGAGGGTCCCGTGACACCCACGACCTAAGTGACTCCTGGGCCCCTTGGTGTCACTTACAGCTACCTTGGGCGGAAGCAGGTGAACCCTGAGAAGGAGGCAGCTGTGGAGGGGCTGCCGGGCCTGGTGGTGGCTGGGTACTCCTACTGGACGCTGGCCTATGCCCTGAGCCTGACAGGTGCCCGCAAGCTGCTGGCCTCACAGCCTCTGCGCCGCATGCTGCCCGTGGATGAGTTCCTGCCCATCATGTTCGACCAGCACCCCAAGTGAGGCTCTGACGGGGACCGGGTGTGGCAGCGCGGGGGCGTCCCTCCAGGAACCCACCTCCGTCAGCAGGAAGTGCCCTCACTGGGCAGATGGGGAGACTGAGACTGGCAAGGCCAAGTCACGAGGTCCAGGTCATCTAGGTGTGAATTCTGCACAGCGCATGCAGGCCTTTCTTTTTTTTTTTTTCATTCTAATGGAGTCTCGCTCTGTTGCCCAGGCTAGAAGCAGCGGCATGATCTTGACTCATTGTACCCTCTGCCTCCCAGGTTCAAGCAGTTAGTCCTGGCTCTACCTCCCAAGTAGCTGGGATTACAGGCGAGTGCCACCACACCCTGCTAATTTTTTTTTTTTTTTTTTTTTTTTTTTGAGACAGAGTTTCACTCTGTCTCCCAGGCCGGAGTACAGTGTCATGAATTTGATCTCGGCTCACTGTAACCTCCACCTCCCGGGTTCAAGTGATTTTCCTGCCTCAGCCTCCTGAGGAGCTGGGATTATAGGCACGCGCCACCACACTCAGCTAATTTTTTGTGTGTTTTTAGTAGAGACAGGGTTGCACTAAGTTGACTAGGCTGGTGTCAAACTCCTTGACCTCAAGTGATAAGCCCACCTGGGCCTCCCAGAGTGCTGGTGTCACAGATGTGAGCCACTGCTCCCAGCCTTAATTTTTATATTTTTAGTAGAGATGAGGTTTCATCATGTTGGCCAGGCAGCGCACGCAATTTTTAATCAATTGACTTCCCTGTTCTCAGCTTCAGTTTCCTCATCTGGAAAATGGGTTTAGTGGAAGTCCCACTGCTTAGGGCTGTTGTGAGGACTAGATGGCAGGGAGTGCTGTGCTCTGGGCAGGAAAGGTGCTTGGCTTCTGGCAGGCATGTGGCCTGGGAGTAGGGGCCCGCCTCAGTCCCCCGAGCTGTCCTCTCACCTCACAGTGAGGAGTACAAGGCACACTTCTGGCCAAGGGACCTGCTGGCCTTCTCAGCCCGGCCCCTGCTCGCTGCCCCTACCCACTATGCCGGGGACGCCGAGTGGCTCAGTGACACCGAGACATCCTCTCCATGGGATGATGACAGCGGCCGCCTCATCAGCTGGAGCGGCTCCCAAAAGGCCCTGCGCAGCCCCCACCTGGACGTGGATGGCAGCAGTGAGCACAGCCTCCAACCCCAGCCTCGAGATGAGCTCTAGGTGAGGCCGGGGTGGGAAGGGGCCCCAGCCCCATAGGCCTTGGCTTTCTGTCCTCTTTGATGGCATGACTATGTCTGGGGCCGTTTTTCGCTTCTCAGCCTTCTCTCTCCCTGCCTCTATGTCTTTTTTTTTTTTTTTTTTTTTTTTTGCAACAGAGTCTTGCACTGTTGCCCCGGCTGGAGTGCAGTAGCATGATCTTGGTCCACTGCAACCTCTGCCTCTTGGGCTCAAGCGATTCTCCTGTCTCAGCCTCCCGAGTAGCTGGTACTGCAGGCACCCACCACCACGCCCAGCCTCTTGTATTTTTAGTAGAGACGGGGTTTCACCATGTTGACTAGGCTGGTCTTGAACTCCTGACCTCAAATAACTGCCCATCTCGGTCTCCCAAAGTGCTGTAATTATAGACGTGAAGTGCCATGCCTGGCCTCTGTGTCGTCTCTGGTTGTACCTTCAGCTGTCTCTGCGTCCCTCTCTAGTTCTTTCTCTCTCTGCCTGTTTCTGCCTGTTTTTCCGTATTTGTCAGTGTCTGTCTCTTTCTGATTTCTGTCTGACTGTAATTCTATTTCTCTTCCTGCTTCTCCTGTCCCACCAGGTCCAGGTGATGACTGCAAAGGAGTGCCCAGGAGCAGGCCACTGCTGCCCAGGGAGCAGAAGAGAAGGTTGTTGGCAGGGGCCACAGATCTAGTCAAACCTGCCGCCCCCTTGGGCACGGCCACTCTGCCCTCTGGACCAGTCTTACTTTGGGAGAAACCACTCAGAGATGGATCCCATTCCCTGAAGGTCTCACAGCAAAGGGGCAGGACTCCCAGGCCCCTTGACCCTACCTGGCCTGATTCAGGGCCTGGTGGCCCCCAGCCTTCTGTTTCAAGCTGGGCAGACCCCAGGAGCCCTTCCCTCCCTAAGGAATCAGCCAGTGGGCTCCTCTGTCCCCTTCTACCTCCACCTCAGGCCCCTCCCCTAGCTTGATGTTTGGGTCTCCCCAGCACTGTCCTCCCTGGCCGGTGCAAAGTGCAGGGGGCTGGAGCAGGACCCTTGCAGACCTGTTGCCCAGCACATAGTAAGCCCTCAATAAAAGCCATTTACACTATATATATATATATATATATATATATATATATATATATATAGTGTGTGTGTGTATTTATCTATATATATGCATGTATGTGTGTATATGTGTGTGTGTGTGTATATATATATATATAGATATATTTTTTTTTTTTTTTTGAGACAGGATTTCCTTCTGTTGCCCAGGCTGAAGTGCAGTGACACACACACAGCTCACTGTGGCCTCAACCTCCTAGGCTCAAGCGATCCTCCCTCTTTAGCCTTCCACGTAGCTGGACCACAAGCACATGCCACCACGCCTGGCTAAATTGTTTTTTATTTTTGTATTTTTTGTAGGGACTGGGTTTCACATGTTGCCCAAGCTGATCTCAAACTCCTGGACTCAAAAAATCTACCCACTTCGGCCCCCCAGAGTACTGGGATGAGAGGCGTGAGCCACTGCATCCTGCCTCTCTCTATATTTTTTGAGGTGGAGTTTCACTCTTGTTGCCCAGGCTCTAGTGCAATGGTATGATTTTGGCTCACTGCAACCTCCACCTCCCAGGTTCAAGCAATTCTACTGCCTCAGCCTCCCGAGTAGCTGGAATTACAGGAATACAATACCACACCTGGTCATTTTTTTTTTGTATTTTTTAGTAGAGATGGGATTTCACCATGTTCAGGCTGGTCTTGAACTGCTGACCTCAGGTGATCCACTTGCCTTGGCTTCCCAAAGTGTTGGGATTACAAGCATGAGCCACCATGCCCAGCTGGTTTGTTTGTTTTTGAGACAGAGTCTCACTCTGTCATCCAGGCTGGAGTGCAGTGGTACAATCTCAGCTCACTGCAACCTCTGCCTCTCAGGTTCAAGAGATTCTCCTGCCTCAGCCTCCCTAGTAGCTGGGATTACAAGCATATGCCACCATGCCTGGCTAATTATTATGTTTTTACTTTATATATATACGTATTTTTTATTCTCCTTTTTGTTGTTGTTGTTGTTGTTGTTGTTGAAACAGAGTCTTGCTCTGTCACTCAGGCTAGAGTCCAATGGTGCGATCTTGGCTCACTGCAACCTCTGCCTCCCGGGTTCAGACATACTCCTGTCTCAGCTACCTGAGTAGGTGGGATTACAGGGGCATGCCACCACGCCTGGCTAATTTTTGGTATTTTTAGTAGAGACGGGGGGTTTTACCATATTCCCCAGGCTGGCCTCGAACTCCTGAACTCGGGTAATCCACCCACCGCAGACTCCCAAAGTGGTAGGATTACAGTTGTGAGCCACTACTCCCAGTCTATTTTTATTTTATATTTTTTAACTTGTGACTGAGCCTCTGCATTTCAGCTGGCCTGGGAGGAGGCTTCCTGATCTATGGTTGAGCAATTAGAGGGACAGAGGGTGGGGGACAAGCAAGGAGTCAGGCCGATCCAGCATCACCTCTGTGCTGGGTGATCTTGAGTGGGTGCCATCCCCTCTCTGGGCCTTAGTCTACTCTGGTCACTGTGGCTGGTTGGGTATAGAGTGGCCTGCCCTGAGCTCGAACCACAGTGGGTGCTCTCACCCAGTAGGGCTGATGTGGTCATCCCTGAACTCATTAACAGCCTCACCTTGCTGGTCAGGGTGGGCCCAGCCAGTCCAAGGGCTGCTGATTCCCCCAGCCCTTTGGATCATCTCCTGGGCAGCTGAAACCCTGGCTGAGGGGAAGAGGAACCCCCTGGGAGGGGCTGGGGAAGATCCCTGGTTTCCCTCTGGCACTAACCAGTATGGCCACCAGAGGGCGCCAGGTGACAGAGCCTGGACCTTGTGGGCAGGATGCTCTCTGCTGGGTTGGGGCCAACATGGGGAAGGGAGTATGGGCCATTTTGAAGCTCCCTTTGGTGCTGCTGGGTGACCCGCAGCAGCTCTTGTGTTCTGCTTTTCTGACAGGAACTGCAAGCCGGAGGTCTCCCCTGCCCTCAGAGAGTCAGGCTTCTGGGCCCAGCTACTGTCTGCCATGCCCGCACTCAGGCAGCTGGAGGCGTGGGAGGGGAGATGGCTCCTGGCCTTGGCCATGGCTGCCTTGGCCTCCACCTGTGTAGGACTGTGGCACCGATATCTCCAGGCTTCCTGCTTCAGAGTAGACCCCTTCCTGCTCCTCTTCCTTGGAAGTCCCTGACTTGGTTGTGTGAGAACCTAGTCCTGGCAGAGTCTGACAGGCATTCCCAGAGGTTGGGGTACACCTTGGTTCTGTCCTGGGGGTGAGGTCCAGGACCTGGCACGGCAGAGAGAAGGCTCTTGGACTGGAGCTGTTGACTTGGTGCTATATTCCTTCTAAGATGAAAGCCGTTCATTCTGGATGGCTATGACCTTGAGCAGCTCACTTCTCTCCAGGCTCCGGGTGTCCCCTTTATTCATTAGTTAATGTTTATTAACTACCTCCAGGATCAGGCCTTGGGGATTCAGCAGTGAATGAAACTGACAAAAATCCCTGACCTCATTAAGCTGACATTCTTTTTTTTTTTTTTTTTTGAGACAGAGTTTCGCTCTTGTTACCCAGGCTGGAGTGCAATGGCGCGATCTCGGCTCACCGCAACCTCCACCTCCTGGGTTCAGGCAATTCCCCTGCCTCAGCCTCCTGAGTAGCTGGGATTACAGGCACGCGCCACCATGCCCAGCTAACTTTAACTTTTTGTATTTTTAGTAGAGACGGGGTTTCACCATGTTGACCAGGATGGTCTCGATCTCTCGACCTCGTGATCCACCCGCCTTGGCCTCCCAAAGTGCTCGGATTACAGGCTTGAGCCACTGCGCCCGGCGGTGATGGCTTTTATAGAAATCTGTTCGCCAGCATTTTTTTTTTTTTTTTTTTTTTTTGAGACGGAGTTTCGCTCTTGTTGCCTAGGGTGGAGTAGAATGGCAGGATCTTGGCTCACCACAACCTCTGCCTCCCGGTTCAAGCCATTCTCTTGCCTCAGCCTCCTGAGTAGCTGGGATTACAGGCATGAACCACCACACCTAGCTAATTTTGTATTTTTAGTAGAGACAGAGTTTCTTCCTAACGGTCAGGCTGGTCTCGAACTCCTGACCTCAGGTGATCCACCTGCCTCTCCCAAAGTGCTGGGATTACAGGCGTGAGCCACCGCGCCCGGCCCCTCTGACTTTTTCAGTAGCAAGTAGTACCTTCTCTTTGAATTGTAAGTGCTTCTGGCTCCCTGTCTGCTGAAGTCAGGGGTCATAGGTGCCTTTGCTGAATGCCCCAAGCTTCGGAGTTTCCTGAGTTCCTTTGTCTGCCTTTAAAGTTCTTTTGCTTCCCCCTTCGCTGGGATGTTGCCAGGATAAAGAACATGGAATCTGGAGTGGGTCCCACGTGGGCTGCAGTCTTGACATGCTGTGGGGGCTGTGTGACCTGAGGCATGCTACTTAGCTTCTCTGAACCTTCATTTCTCCATCTGCAAGTGAAGACGATACTGCCTTGTAGAATGCAGTTAAGGCACTGTGAATGGTATTTGATCATGTGTTCAAGTGATTGTCCCAGAGCCATAAGTAACGATGCTTTTGCTATAAGGAACCATCTCAAACTGGCTTAAGACCACGTACAGGCTGACAGAACACAAGAGTGCAAAGCTGTAATCCCAGCATTCTGGGAGACTGAGGTGCATGGATCACTGGAGGCCAGGAGTTTGAAACCAGCCTGGCCAACATAGGGAAACTCTGTCTCTACTAAAAATGCCACAATTAGCTGGGCCTGGTGGCAGGCACCTATAATCCCACCTACTCAGGAGACTGAGGCAGGAGAATCGCTTGAACCCAGGAGGCAGAAGTTACAGTGAGCCAAGATCATACCACTGTACTTCAGCTTGGGCAACAGAGCGAGACTCCATCTCAAAAAAAAAGAGTCACTTCTAGATGCTTTCAAAGAAAGAACCCCAGCCAGCCTCTCCACATTGGCCCAAATAGAGTCACGTGAGCATTTCTGAACCAAGTGTTGACAATCACTGACAAGGGGGTGGGATTATCACCTGGCCAACCAGACTCATCCTCAGAGCCAGGCTGGACTTAGCCTCCTCTGTGGCGGTGCGCCATGGGCACTCAGTGTGATTTATTGGCAAGCAAGCCAATAAATGTTGATCATCAACTTCTTTGGGGCAGCAGGGCAGGGACTATGGTGGCCTGTGTGGGGCAGGATTCTATTTTATATCCATGGTTCCTGTGGACAGTGAGCATGATGTTCTGATGAGCTGGCATGGCCAAGGTGACGTTCCATACCCTGGACATCACTTAAGCAATCAGCTTCAGAGGGCACCACTGCTTGTCCTGGACAGGGGACCCATGGACCTCCTGCTTGAGGAGTTCTGGTCCTGTGTGCCCAAGGTGCAGCTGGCCCAGGAAGGAGGAAGCTGGTGTGCGTCGCTCTCGGGGGTGGCTCCCCAGCTCCAACTTCACAAATTTCAGTACTTCCCATCCGTTTGCAACTAACCTGTCCTCCTACTGGCATCTGTGACAGCTTTTTTGTTTTGAGACGGAGTCTTGCTCAGTCACCCAGGCTGGAGTGCAATGGTGCGATCTCGGCTCACTGCAACCTCCGTCTCCCGGGTTCAAGCAATCCTCCCACTTCAGCCTCCTGAGTAGCTGGGATTACAGTCACTCGCCATCATGCCCAGCTAATTTTTGTATTTTTGAAGAGATGGGGTTTCACCATGCTGGCCAGGCTAGTCTTGAACTTCTGACCTCAGACGATCCAAAGTGCTGGGATTACAGGTGTGAGCCACCATGCCCAGTTGTGACAGCTTTAATGATGCATGCATGTTCTTCGAGTAAGATTCAGCCTTATTCTGAAATACTCGGCATGGAAAAGTTGCCATTGGATTCAAAATGCATCTGCAAATCCATGGGAATTTCAACATTCCATTTGAGGATGAATAAAGGGAAGAGTTGTACAAGTTTTTTTTTTTTTTGAGATGGAGTCTTGCTCTGTCACCCAGGCTGGAGTGCAGTGGCACAATCTTGGCTCACTGCAACCTCTGCTTCCCGGGTTCAAGAGATCCTCCCACCTCAGCCTGCCATATGTAGCTGG